TTTTGTTGCTAAATATAAGCTTTTGTTGCTTTGAGCTACGTAAATATAAGATTTTGTTGCTTTGAGCTACGTAAATATAAGATTTTGTTGCTTTGAGCTACGTAAATATAAGATTTTGTTGCTTTGAGCTACGTAAACAAGCGTGCGCGTAAATATATTACAGAAACGTTATGATTTAAACGAAAACTTTACAAAAGTTTAATACAGCATCTGGATAGGAGCGAAAATGCGCGGCGACAAAAGTTTACAGTTTTGGTGTTCCTTCTCATAACCAATATAGCGCCACGTTTCTCAGCAAGCGCGTCAAAATATTTATTGTCGAGTCAACAGTGTAGAGTACTGGCAGACCAGCTGGTTTATTGTCAAACAAGAGTCGAATTTCGTCAGTAATTTTCTGAGCTATGCGGAATCCATCGACAATGTTTAGTCGATTTTACGCGCACATACATTTGACCAATAATGCGCCACCTAGCACGCACGTGATAATGTTTAATGATAAATCACCAGTGTACATTACGCGCAGACTGGCTGGTTCATCGTAACGTAAGAGTCTATTTTATGATCTATGCTGACCGGAATCCAGCGAAAATATTTAGGCCATTACACGCGAAACGTGAGTACAATTAAGAATTGCAATGGACGCTAAATATTAGAGAAGAAAGCGCAAGTGCGGGAAAGTGTCACGAAGTCAGTAGCGACATCATACGCGAGTAGAATCAGGCGTCATGACGGCATCGCGTGAAAAGCAGACGCGTTATATGACACAAATTACCTGTTGAGCTGATCGTATCAAACGTGACTTGTCTATAAAACGACGGTTTATTACGTCTCGGAAAACACGGCCTTGATTCCGCTGCAACTCCGGGATCCAGGATTCATCTGGGGGAGCGAGAGCAACAGAACTAGTTGGGCGCTCTAGGATTATGACCCCGTTAAACTAAAAGGACAATTAAAATACCTCACCTGTCCCTTACCTGCGTCTGACCTATGATTTACCTGTACATTACATGTGACTTACCTTTGCCTCACCTGTGCATTACCTAGCCCTTACCTCTGACTTACCTATGTCTTAACTGCCCATTATCTGTGCCTAACATTTGTCTCACATGTGCCTTACTTAGACCTTACCTTTGCTTTACCTAGACCTTACCTATACCTTTACTGTGCCTTACCTGTGCTTTACATACGCTTTACCTGTGCTTTACATACGCTTTACCTAGCTGCGTCTGACCTGTCCCTTACATATGTGCTTGACCTATAACTAACCTAAAGGTATTAAGTATACCTAATATTGTCACTGATTTCGTAGCAAGTTCCCGCCACGGCATTTAAACTAAAGTTTTCTTTCCAGCTTCACGAGCATCGTTCATATTTGTCTCTCTTGTATCGAGTTCTAGTTCTATCAAGAAACTTTGAATATTTTCTCTCTTGTAGCGGGTTCTATGAAATGGTTTGCTATTTTCTCTCTTGTAGCGGGTTCTAAGAAATGGTTTGCTATTTTCTCTCTTGTAGCGGGTTCTAAGAAATGGTTTGCTATTTTTTTTTCTTGTAGCGAGTTCTAGTTCTATCAAGAAGCGGTTCGGAGCGCCACCGGATGTGGAGCGGGCGTGTGACCCACGCGATGGCAACCAGACGTTCGTGGCTAATGTCGATGACTGCAACAGCTACTGGGAGTGCGTGCACGGATGGTCCTTCGTATACTGCTAGGTAGTTCTGTCGGGGAAATTACATTGTCTTGACTGTTGAAACCTGGCATGCTTTTCTTTCATCCGCCTGGAGTGATTGGCGGGTAGCTCTGGCCAATCAGCGTTGCGATAGGGGCGTTCTAAAACGCTGCTTAGTTATGAAGTGAGTCTTGTGTATCTGTACGGGAACCTATATTAGTTATCTAGTGATAAGGTTTAAAAGCCTACCCGGTTAGGCAGGCAGTAGTGGCGCCGCGGACTGACGGGTCGTCGCATGCTGAGTTAAGTTATGATTGATCAGTCCCAATAATGATATCAAAGAAATCGGGTCAACATAGCTTAGGGTTCAGTTTGTTTAAAAGTTTTTCACCTTTACTGTGTGTTTGCGTTTGTCTTATCCTTGAAACCCTTTTTACTTACGAGGGGTGCATGATAGCTGATGTCTCTCAACCGGTCAGGTGTGGATGGCCGCTGGGATTAATTATTTGGCATGACCTTATGTGAATACGCAGCCATGGTGGTTCGACACGATTCTCTTGTGGTGAGGTATCGTCACTGGTTAAAGTGTTTAGGTTAGGTTTTGGATTATTATTAACGTTGCCCTGCCATTCGGGATTGACCACCGACCATTTTTCTCTCTTCTATTTTTTCTCTCTTACTATTTTCACAGTTACTTGAAATTCGTTACCATAACCATACGATCATATTACTATTGTTTGCAAGCTCTCACCATTAATCATTGCTACGTAACACTCGTAACAAGAATTATTATAATTGTCCTATTATATTTTTTCTAACTGGCCATTTATCATAATAAAGCCTTACCCTACCCCCCCCATCATTTGACATGAAAAGTATATGGCAATTCAATGAATGTCACAAACATGAGCAACCCATTTTTAAGCAAGGTACTATTGATCATTCATAGTCATTTTACAATTTGTTTTCATGACAGCAACCTGATGGGGTGTCGCCGCGAGTAGTCGTCTTAGTGCTTTTCAAGAGAAAATACAGCCATGGACATTATGATAGCTATGCCATTGCTGCTATTAGCCTGCCATTTACATGCTGCATGTGGCTATAATCTGTGGGTACAATTGTGTAATACATTACTTGTATGAGTACGCAGGGGCGGATCCAGGACGGGGGTGCAGGGGCGTGCGCACCCCCCAAAAAAAAATTATAAGTTTTCGCCCCCTTTTTTCTGGCCCCGGCCCTCTTTTCTTCTGCGACTCCACGGCCCTTTTTTCCTTGGTCCTCGGAACACCTCACCTGCTCGCGCAGAAAAAAGCATTCTGAGGCGGATGTACTTTCAAACTTCTTTCTGGGCGGGAGCGGCCCCCCCAGCGACCCCCCTTTGGCGTAGCTCGGCAAGTTTGGAGTTACGGTTGGAACCCTTCCTGGTACAAATCTGGTACATCGCCCTGTTGACAAAGTAATACTAGAGTATGTTTAAGTCAGATAAATATATCATCATTGAAAATTCAAGGACAGTTTCAAGCCGNTATATATATATATATATATATATATATATATATATGATACACTCCGCTGCTTTAACCCCGCTTAAAGTTGGTAGAGTAAGAAAAAAATCGTTGATCGAAGATGACAGGTTAATTATTATACGACGCTTCAGTTTATACTGGTAGGTTACATATAATAGCTGCTTTAACCCCGCGTAAAGTGAGAGTATGTAGTTGTTAAAGTAAAAAATATAGTTGGTAGAATATAGCAGGTTATACTGCCACACACACACGCACACACACACACACACACACACACACACACACACACACACACACACACACACNACACTCACACACACACCACACACACACACACACACACACACACACAACCAACACACACACACACACACACACAACACACACCACACACACACACACACACACAGAGAGAGACAGACAATGAGACAGACAGACTGAAAGGTATCTTATTAACGATCAACAACTGCAGGCAATGTCCGAACGAGCTGGTCTGGTCACATCAAGAAGGGCGATGCGAAGACAAATACACGGCCGTCAATGAAGCATGTGGATTCCTAGCACTTCAACCTCCTACGACGATTGTACCACCGCGTGAGTATATCTATAATACATATTTCTGAATGCGTGTCTGTTTGTCTGTCTGTTCTCAATGCAAATCAATATGGAGCACTCTAGAAATGTCCAAGGACGTTCAGTAGGGGGTAACTTTTAATGCGGAATGTCATGGGCACATTGGATTTTATCCGGGACGTCATCTGAGGTCGCAGGAGAACAAAATGAGTGAAAATGGTGAAAGATTGGTGCCCCTGCGGCCGCATGAAATAAACGGACCCCTGCGGCAGCATTAAATAAACAGGCCCCTGCAGCAACATTGTCCAAACAAGATTCAGCTTGTACTAACTTTACTGCTACTACTACTGTGACTGAACTACTTGCTTTACTGTTACTAAAGGTACTCGGTACCGTAGATAAATAGATAGATAGATAGATCGATAGATAGATAGATGATAGATAGATAGATAAGATCAGATAGATAGATAGATAGGATAAGATAGATAGATTAGATAGACAGATAGATAAGAATAGATAGTAGATATACTTAGATAGATAGATGATAATAGATAGATAGATTAGAATTAGATAAAATAGTAGATACATAGACAAGGGACAGACAGACAGCAAGAACAGACAGACAGACATGACAGACAGACAAGAAGACAGACAGACAAACAGACAGACAGACAGACAGACAGACAGACAGGACAGCACAGGAACAGACAGACAGATATTATAGATAAATAGATAGAATAGATTTGTGGTGCATTTTTTAATTTCAACCAAGTGGTCACCAAACTGAGTGCTTTAATATATTTACTATTTCCCGTGCAACGCCGGGTATCCTGCTAGTATTGTATGTATAGTATATTATATATATATATATATATATATATATATATATATATATATATATATATATATAGCTCACGCTTGCTTCATTTATAATTTTATAATTTTTGTCATTATTAACCCCTGATAATTATATACTAGCTATAACGTTTCGCCTATATCCTAATCACTTTTACAGTAGTTTGAAATCGATATACATATTACATTGATATCAAAATTAATTAACGAACAAAATATATATATATATATATATATATATATATATATATATATATATATATAATATCGCAAATATTATTATATTTAGCCACGATGATATTAATAATATTAACGTAACATATCAATCAATCAATTTATCGCCAAAGGGAATCTCACGCGATGACGCGCACATGATAAAGTGAGTGCGCACATTACATATTCAATGTGGATAAATTAGGGCACGCGTTACGTGCTGGGACTGGGTAGCTGGGCGTGGTAGCCGGCCACATTAAAGCCCATGCGAATGGAAAATAGATCTGTTAAACCTAGTAATGTGTAGGTGTGTTATGAATCTTAAGGCGTGTATGTTAAGGCTGCGTGATGTATTGGGTATGGGGACGGAGCGAGAAGGAGAGATAAAGGAGATATGAAGTCACCGTTAGAAACGAATGTTTGCTACATGTACGGTATAGAACACACATACACACACACACACACACACACACACACACACACACACACACACCACCACACACACACACACACACACACACACACACACACACACACACACACACACACACACACACACACACACAC